GGTAGCCAGGCCTGGGAGGCATGCTTCTGGCAGACCTGGGGAATGAGACCCAATGGCAAGGACAGCAAACAAAGGTCAGGATGTAAGTGGGAACACTGGCTCAGACCTACCTGGGATCTGCATGCACAGAGTGGGCTTCTGGAAGGCAGAGCGATCTTAGGTCCCAGGGAAGGCAGAGAGAACTCAGGTCAAAAGGAAAAAGGAGAGAATCTGAGCTCCAGGGAAGGCAGAGCAGTCTCAGCTCAAAGACTTCCTGTTTCCCACCAGCCCACTCTGATCCTCCTAGTCCCAAGGACACCACCCCGGTCCAACCCTTGAGGCCCCCAGGATGGCTGAGCCCTTTCCTCCAATCACACCCAGGGCCAGAACTCAAGGACTCTGACTGCCTCTCCTTCCCAAGCCCACCCCTCCATCACGTGGAAAGCCTTCTCCAATGCAATGATCCCCTCTTCCCCCTAAACTCCTCCCAGCCTCCAAACTCCACCCCAGTGCTCCAACTCCATCTGGGCCACCACCCACCAGGCTGGTCATCTCTGAGAGCTCCTCCCCCCCAGTGCCTCCCCCACCTCCCTCCCTCCCAGACTCACCCCCTCCTCCTTCTGAGCAGAAACACTGCCTTGATCCAACTGCAGCCCCAGACTAAGTGCAAGTGATGGACTCTACACTTTGAGGAGCTGGTAGCAAATGGCTCTCAGGAAAATTAGGATCTATATACCATTTGCAACTGTAAATCCAGATTGGATCAGATTGAGTTTCTCCCAGTGAGAAATCCAGTTCTCCCTTTGTAATTGTGATGTTTGACCCTCTGCAAAAATATCAGACCTTAAGGGTAAATACACTTAAAATTCAGCATTGAGGCAATGTGATGAGGAACTGTAAGAATAAGAATTGAAAGTAATTGGGTCAGAATTACTCAATTCTACTCTGAATGCAGTCTAGAGTGTCAAATTGAGAGATGAATGAAGTGAATTTTTTATGTAAGATAATTCACAAATGAACTGAATTGATGTCATTTAGCAATTTTTCATGTTTTAAATCTATAACATTGTTTATGTTATTATGCTTCTGATTTTTCTCCTGTTGGAATGTTTGGGAAACCATTGTATAAAATGCTGTAATTTGAAAAATAATTTCTAGAGGGTGATACAATTGTATTCTTGGAAATTTATCTCCTCAGCAATTTGAAACTATGCCCAAAGGGCTATAAAATTGTTCATACCCCTTGATCCCGCAATACCACTACTAGGTCTGTATCCCAAAGAGATCATAAAAATGGAGAAAAGACAACCATGTACAAAAATATTCATAACTGCTCTTCTTGTGGTGGTAAAGAATTGGAAATTTAGGGGATACCCATCAGTTGGGGAATGGCTGAACAAGTTGTGTGTTAGAAATACGCTTGACACCTAAAATTTAGTATCAAGAAAGTTTATTACAGAGAAAGTCCAGAGGATTAGACCTTTCTGGCCAGAAGCAGGCTCCACCCCTCTTAGGGAGGGATAGGCCCTGAGCACAAGGGCAAGCATGCTTTTATACATTCAAATTTGGCGTGAAACCTCCCAGGCCCAGATTGGTCCATTCCTTCCCGGGTTACACCCCTCCTTACATGTTTCCCCTTGATATGCTCAAGTATGTTCCCCCTCCCGAGGTCATACATCCCATGACTCGTTAATGAGGCTCTCATTTTATTCGGGGTATGGCAGATAATAGTAATGAAGTTCATTAAGCAGGCGCACTAACATTTTTCAGGTGTCCTCAGGTTGACCCTAACTGGTCTGAGCTGGCTCGACCCTTATCTTGAATTTGGAGTCTTTTTAGAGCCATCAACTTACTTCTTATTGCTTGAGCCCTCACCCACCTACAGTGTACTGCTTCCTGGAATAGTTCTTTGAATCTCCGCGTTATTCTCCTTCTCTATGGAAATATGACTCTCACAATTCCCTCCTCTTTTTCTCAATAAGAATTATATTTCCACACTTTTTGTTCTTTCCTCAAAGCGTTTTAACATTAGTTCAAATTCTTCATCAGAGGGGGAGGAATGGTCATTAACTGGCTCAATCATCATCCTAACTCCTGTTACCTGAATTCCCAGAACCGGTCCCACTGAGGTATTTTTCAATGGAATTTTGGGGACTTAATATGGGAGAAGGAAGGGAGGAGTTGACTGACTCATCGACAAAGTAAAAAGGGGCCAGTTCCCTTATTAAGTGCAGATACAGAGACCCAAAAGGAACCATAAATTGTCCATTTAAAGCTTCAGAAGTCTCTTCTCATACAGCTGACACTCTGGACATCATCTGGTGAAGTCTTCTTTTTTGTCTAAGTGCTGTTCAAACAGTGTCCAGCAGACTCTCCTCCTGCAGAGATCCTCCTTCTTGTGTCCACTCTCCTACAAGATTGATCTCAACACTATTTTAAATTACCTTGCTAATAACCAAGGCAAATAACAACCCCTATGTCTTCACCATTACAAGATCAAAATGGAAACTTTGTCCAATTGTCATGTTTCAAAAAACTCAAATTAAAAAAAATTAGAACCTAGCCTTACACTCTGCATTACTTCGAGTTTTATACCTTGCATTAGTTGACTATTCATTCCTATTTATATTCCCCATCAGGAAGATGAGATTCCATTAAGGAATTAGTAACAGACTCCAATCCATAGTAGTTAATTTAAAACCACTGCATATCAAATAACAAAACACTCCCAACTTCTAGTCATGTACAAATAAAAAAATCCTTAATTAAAATAGATGCTTTTTTCAAGGCATTTACAAGATAAGCCACAAGTTATTCCTCTTTAACATTAATTGTAACAAACTGAGACAACTTTAACATTAACTAAGTATTAACTAAGTCACAGAATAATATCCTAGTTCCACAGTGTCCTGGTCTAATTATCCCCTAATGATAGGGGATGAGTCCAAGCCGAGACCCTCACCCCTTTCCCCAGAAAGAATCTGGCTCCCACCAGTCCATGTGCCCCAACTCCTCATCTTCCTTTGAAAGCCCTAGCCCCACCCCTGGTCACCCAAAGTTTCTTCAGAGTATGCAAGATCCACCCTGGCCCCGATTCAAATGCTGAGACTTTCTCATGCCTGCTTGTCCTTATGGGAGTCACCTGGCCTATATGGTTTATCTACAACAAACTTTCCCCCTGACTGAAAGACCTGGGCTGAACTCCTTCTGGAGGAACCCTTGTGCTGTGACCTGGGAGTTCCAGTGCCTGCAAACCTCCAGACCTCATCATAACCATTATGAGAAATTAAAGGATCCTGACTTATACAGGAATATACTAGTAACAGATGTCAAGACTGAATACTATTCTGAAATTCTAGGCCAAATAACTCAATCTTATACTTGCATCTTACTATGATAACCTCAGATGTTCCCGCATCAATCTATTGTTTAATAGATTCGATATTTATGCTGACAAACTTATGATTGGAGGAATTTGCCATGAAAGAACATAACTAAAGTAAGGGAACAATGCTTCCCTAGATTTATGTCAACTCCAGGCAGAAGTTACATATATATATGACCAACTGCATTGAGCCAGGCTTAAAGTCTGCCAGGTGTCATAGTGGGGAAATTGAGTCAGGAGAATCTTACCTCAGCCATGCAGAAAAGTTGTTCTCCCGACCTTCCCGTGAGAACACCCTCTTGCAGCTCATAGATGCAGCTCACAAACCTCTTTGCAGGTTGCTGATGTCATGGGTCAGTAGCTCAATCAGTTCCTTGTTAATCATACCTGGAGTTAGAACAACAGTTCATTAACAGTTTCCAAGGTCTTAGATAGCAAATTCCCCTCATCAGAGCTTCAGGTGTGACTATAGTTTCACCTTAATTAGGGAATGTGCCGGCCGCGCTGTGCACTCTCCTCCTATAAGGAGCAGGCTGCCAGAGTCATACTACTTACCAGTCTTCGGAGCCTACTCGGATACACACACAGAGACGAGCCCATCAGGAGGTGACAACACTGGAGCTTTATTAAGAGGCCATCACAGCAAGGCCAAGCAGGAAGGCCAGAGCAACAGAGCAGGAGCAAAAAGAGAGCCTGATCCAACCAGGATCGTTTCTTAAGTACCTACTTAGCCCCTCCTCAGCCCACCTACTAGTCAATGATTGTAGGGTCAGATACCGGAAGGGGCTGTCTGAGTTTAGCTCACCAAGGGAGAGGAAGTGACGCAAGAGGCTAGGACCGGATATAAGAAGGAGGCGTCTGGGATTAGTGCATAGACAAAGAGAGAGCACGTGACCTAGGAAGTCAGGCCCAGATACCAGGAGGAGGCGTCTGGGGTCAGTGCTACACAAAGGGAAGGTACGTGACCCAGGAAGTCAGGAAGGACACAGGAAGGAGGCGTCTGGGGTTGACGTTGCAAATAGGGAGGGGACTAAGCAAAGGGAACTCGTCCTCTGCCGTCCCACTCCCACGTGGCACAGCCCCCTGCCTCAGGAGCACGTGCTACTTCCTTGTATCCTGATCCTTCCCCAGCTTATCTCACATAGCACTGCCCACTGCCTCAGGGCTTCTCCGTATCCAGCCCATCCCAGTTCACCACAACTCTGCCCACCACAGCCCCTGCCTCGACTTCCAAATACCCAGATCTTGCCACAATCCCCACTTGGCGGTAGTCAACATCAGATAGTCCCTCACAAGGGAACATCTCCAAAGTGAGCTCTAAGTAGTTTGCATAACTTCCTACACATATTCTGGTTCCTAATAACATCCTGAGTAAAATCAGATTTCATAAACGTAAGAATGCTCTTGATGAGCTTTAACTGTCGACACAGGAAGGGGCATTCTTAGCTCACTCAGGAAGAAAAGATCAAATCAGGTTTTTGGCCCTTATTGGGGCTCAATTGATCTTAAATGATTATCACCATAAAATTCCTAGTTACCTAATTTTTTTAGTCCAGAGGTGTCTGCAATGGGCCACTTAATCAGTAAGAGTTCCATCTCACAAAACTCCTGCACAGGATTGATAAGAATTGAGATTTTACAAAATCTCTTTGCATAATTACATAGTTTCTTTACACACACAAAAATCCTTCTACCAGTACTTCACTTAAACAATAACTCCAAATAGCTTAGTTAACAATTTTAAACTTCACAAGTGAGAGTCAAATAATCCCAGCTAAAACTTTCCCTTTAAACATAGACAAAACTTTGAAGTTCATTTCTTAAATTGCAGTACTTCAAAGGAAATGTTACAAAATGGGATCATATAGAATGCCCCAACAGCTCCACTCATTCTTTTTTCTCCTTTCTCTGAAGGCACAATTCTTAATCTAACATTCCAGATCATAAAATAAATTGCCCTTCCAACAACATAACTAATACAATTGCTTACCAGATTACATCATATAAGAAAATTCAGAACTAATGTAAGCGGTATATTAAAAACTTGAAACAGACCCAATAAAAATCTTTCTTTCTTTCTTGGATTCCTTCACCAGGTCCAACATTCTCCTGGGGCCACTCCCACCCCTCTAGACTGGCTTTTTTTTTTATTAATATTATCTATGCTAGCCCATCATTGTCTTTTACTGGTCTGATAGCCTCGGCTACATCCAGATTCCCGATTCAACCTCAATGCCACTCCCAATCAAGGCACTTGGTTGAAGGCGGCCTAGCACCTGGCCCATATGGCCCATGCCCCAACAAACCCAGCCTTTAGCCTAAAGAAGGCCTGGATAGAAAAATATATATTTTTCTAATTTCTAATTGAGGCCCTGATATGAGAGAATACCTCATTAATTCCAAATACACATCAATAAGGTTTTAACATAAAATATGTTTGTTCCACAGGGCATACATTATAAAATTATTTCCACAATTGCAATAAACTTTGAAACGACCCATTATCAACTTAGATGGATGTACTTCTAAGTCACTTTGTACAGAAAATCATTCATCTCATCATTAATATGTTGAGACTATAACTTTAAACCACCATACATTTTTATAATAGTCAAAATTTTAAATAAAATCTGCTATCATAGTCTTATAACCAAATACACCTTACTAGGTATTTAACAATTTTCAAATTATCTCATCTTTATCACTAAAAGACCCCCTGCAGGTCAAGAGTTACCTTAACACCATTTCTACCTCATAATAGTCCCTCAGATTTTACAATCTAAGAGTTTTAGAAATACAATACAGTTTAGAAATGCAGTAATAACTTAAACAATAAACTTCAGATAACATCAATTGCATTTCCACATCACATATAGAAATGATCGCCTTTATTACACTTATTACGCTTTTAACTTTTAACATTAACTAATAATGCCACATCTCATGACAACCATTATTATTGTTTTTTATAGAACAGTAAACTTAAACCCAATAAGATCTGAATTTGTAATCACTAATGATAAACATTTAAAAACATTTTTGTTTTAAATCCAATACTCTTGGCCCTTTAAAAGGAAATATTTTCCACAAATTTATTTATTCCCTTAAAAAGACACATGGTGACAATTCCTGCTCTAAATTCTAATTTTCTTTCCTACTTCCTTAAGGAAACTAAGAAAAAGTCCCCAGTCCTTTTGTTTTGTTTTGTTTTGTTTTGTTTTGATAGTGCACTTAATTACTCAATTTGTTCCCTATATTTTTGGTAATTCATCTCAATTGCTAAACCTAGCCCTTAAGGTGCTATCTTCGGAATATCAAATGGCAGCTTCTGACCTGCTATTTTAGACTGTTCCTTGAACATGATTCTCCTACTAATGAGCAACACACAAAGGAATCTGGTTGGGAGAGATCACTCACATCCCAGAGTCAGAGACTGACTCAACAATTACAATTAGTCACCAGAAGATGTCGCCCTCTCCCCACAGTCACCCGAGTGCTCCCTCAATGTCACCAGAAATTTGGTCCGGCAGAGTCACCTCAAAACCCTGAGTCAAAGACTCAGCAATTAGTGAATTTGTTCGAGGGTTGTCGCCTTCCCTCCAGGTCAGAGACTTACACTAATAAGGAGACATGAGAGCCGCTTACCTCCGGGCTGAATGTGTACAACTTACACGATTGATCCAATGTACCTTAATTGCTGCCTGCGGCCGGCCGGCCAACCTCACAAAATCCTGTCGCTGTCCTGAGTTTAACTTTCTTTCACTTTTTGCTTCCCCGAGCTCTCTCTTCAAGTTCTCACCCAAGCGGAGCGAAAGCACCCTAAATCTGGCCTGAGGGCTGTTGGAGAAATCTCCGGTGGCACCCCGACCCTCAGGGTCCAGATTTAGGGATCTCGCTCACAGGTGGGCAAATCTCAGTGGGACCTCCAAAGCTGTGTGGTACAGCCACTCTAACACAATTAAATTCAGAGACTTCTCAAGGCGGAAGCAAAAGTTACTCTTTATTACAATCTCCCGAGAAGGGGCAGATGTCTACTCCTCCAGTGCACTACCAGCAGGAGAAAGGCCAGGCACAAAGGACAGAGCAAGGTTGTATATCATCCCTTACTCCCATTGGCTGGGAGGCGGGCTTACATTCTAGGCGTGAAAATCTTTCCCGTTCCCAAAGAACAAGGAAACAGGGTATAGCCAATCCAAACATACATGTCCTTATTTCGTATACCTGATGCTGACGTGGCAGTGGCAATCAGGAGAGGGTTTAGGGCCGAATTAAACTTATGGCCTGTTCATTCTCTCAGAGCCTATCTCCAGTTTCAAGACAGTCTTTTCATCACCACCCTGAGGAGTCTTCACAGAGGTTATATCTCATTCATTCTCCAGAATGGTTGGATCAGTTCACAACTCCACCAACAATGGATTAGTGTTCCAATTTTCCCACATCTTCTCCATCATTTATCATTGTCCTTTTTTGTCATGTTAGCCAATTGGATAGGTATGAGATAGTACCTCAGAGTTGTTTTAATTTGGATTTCTGTAATCAATAGTGATTTAGAGCATTTTTTTCCTATGACTATAGATAGCTTTAATGTCTTCATCTGAAAACTGCCTGTTCATATTCTTTGACCATTTATCAATTGGGGAATGACTTTTTTCTTACAGATTTGACTCAGTTCTCTATATATTTTAGACATGAGGCCTTTATCAGAGACACTGGCTATAAAAATTGTTTCCCAGCTTTCTCCTTCCCTTCTAATCTTGGTCACATTGGCTTTGTGCAAAACCTTTTTAATTTAAGGTAATAAAAATTATCTACTTTGCATTTCATAATGTTCTCTATCTCTTGTTTGGTAATAAATTCTTTTATTCTCCATAAATCTAACAAGTAAATTATTCCTTGCTCTCTCCTGATTTGCTTATGATGTCACCCTTTATGTCTAAATCATGTACCCACCTTGTCTTGGTACACAGTGTAAAATGTGGGTCTATGCCCAGTTTCTGCCATACATTTTTCCAGTTTTCCCTGGAAGTTTTTTGTTTTTTGTCAAATGGTTATTTCTTATCCCAGAATCTTTGGATTTATCAAACAGTAGATTACTAAAGTCATTTAGTACTGTGTCTTGTGTACCTAAGCTATTCCACTGATCCATCACTCTATTTCTTAGTCAGTACAAAATAGTTTTGATGACTGCTGCTTTGCAATACAGTTTTAGATCTGGTATGGCTAAGCCACCTTCCCTTGCACTTCTCTTCATTAATTCCCTTGATATGCTTGACCTTTTGTTCTTCCAGGTGAATTTTGTTATTATTTTTTCTAGCTCTTCAAAATAATTTTTTGGTAGTGTGATTGGTATGACACTAAATAAGTAAATTAATTTAGGTAGAATTGTCATTTTTATTATATTAACTTGGCATATCCATGAGCAACTAATGTTTTTCCAGTTATTTTGATCTGACTTTATTTGTATAAAAAGTGTTTTGTAATTGTGTTCATAGTTCCTGGGTTTGTTTCACTAGGTAGACTCCTAAATATTTTATGAAGTCTACAGTAACTTTAAATGGAATTTCTCTTTCTATCTCTTACTGCTCAGAGATAGCTTTGTTGGTAATATATAGAAATGCTGATGATTTATGTGGGTTTATTTTATATCCTACAACTTTGCTAAAGTTATTAATCATATAAAGTAGTTTTTTAGTTGATTCTCTAGGATTCTTTAAGTATACTGTCATATCATCTGCAAAGAGTAATAGTTTTGTTTCCTCATTGCCTATTACAATT